CTTTCTTATTGCTGAATCATAAACACTGATCTTAACTGAGGAAAGTGAGGCCTGCAGTTCTTTAGATGTTGTTCTGTGTTCTTTTATGACCTCCTGGATGAATTGTTGTGATCTCGGGAGTAAGTTTGGTTGGCCAGCCACTCCTGGGAAGGTTCATCACGCATGCTTCACTTTGTCAGACAGCTTCTATTTAAGTAATTTCTTGATTCAACAGGTCTGGCAACAATCAGGCCTAGGGGTGGCAAGTGAAATTTACCTCAGCTTTCAAACAATGTGGGTAATCAAAGTTCATTAATGATTTAGCTTGGGGGAGGGGGGGGTTGGGCAATTACTTTTTCACATAGGGCCAGGCAGGTTTTTTCCTTAATAAATTAAATAATCATTTAAAAACTGCATTTTGTATTTATTTGGGTTTTCTTTGTGTAATATTAAAATTTGTTTGATGATCTGAATCATTTAAGTGTGACAAATATGTAAAAACCTACTGAGGACTGAATTCAAAGACACCCTGAAAATCAAAGTGACAAAATGATGCAGCAGGCTAGTCCATTTTGCTGCAATTTCATTGCAGCAACTCAAAATGGTACTCAGTAGTTTGTATGGCCCCCATGTGCTTGTTTGCATGCCTGACAAAGTCGGGGCATGCTCCTAATGAGACGATGGATGGTGTCCTGGGGTATTTCCTTCCAGATCTGGACCAGGGCATCACTGAGCTCCTTGACAGTCTGAGGTGCAACCTGGAGGCTTCAGATGGACTGAAACATGATATCCTAGAGGTGTTCTAGGTCAGGCGAGCATGGGGGCCATTCAGTGGTATCAATTCCTTCAGCCTCCAGGAACTACCTGCATACTCTTACCACATGAGGCCGGGCATTGTCGTGCACTAGGAGGAACCCTGTACCAGCGTACGGTCTGACAATGGGTCCAAGGATTTCACCCCGAAACCTAATAGCAGTCAGGGTGCCATTGTCTAGCCTGTAGAGGTCTGTGTGTCCCTTCATGGATAGTGAGCACATACAGTGAGCACAGGGCCCACTAGAGGACGTCGGACCCTCAGGCCACCCTCATGAAGTCTGTTTCTGATTGGCCAGAGACATGCACACCAGTGGCCTGCTGGAGGTCATATTGTAGGACTCTGGCAATGCTCATCCTGTTCCTCCTTCCACAAAGGAGCAGATGCCGGTCCTGCTGATGGGTTAAGGACCTTCTACGGCCTTGTCCAGCTCTCCTAGAGTAACTGCCTGTCTCCTGGAATCTCCTCCATGCTCTTAAAACTGTGCTGGGAGACACAGCAAACCTGGCAATGGCACATATTGATATGCTATCCTGGACGAGTTGGACTGCCTGTGCAACCTCTGTAGGGCCAGATATCGCCTCACACTACCAGTAGTGACACTTACCCTAGCCAAATGCAAGTGAAAAACAGAAGAGATGAGTAGGGAAAAAAATGTCAGTGGCCTCCACCTGTAAGACCATTCCTGTTTTGGGGATCGTCTCATTGTTGCCCATCTAGTGCACCTGTTGTTAATTTCATTAACACCAAAGCAGCTGAAACGTGCTAAAAAGTGTTCCTTTAATTTTTTTTGAGCAGTGTATATATACACTCAAAATCACATGGACCGTGAGAGGTATTCATTTACTAAAAAATAAATCTTTTTAGCTGGTCAGGGGTCCTTTCTTCATTTCAAATATTTAGTCATGAACCTTTCATATTTTTTAAGAGGCAAATGCTACCCTTTTTTGGTAGTTGCTGGTAAGTTTAATCACATGATCAAAAACAAATGACACTTCCCAATATTCTCAGCTTACTGCCATGTCCAAGTGACAGCTTGTTCCAAGTTTCAGACTGTCAGAATGTAAAAGATTCAAATCAATGGGGATGATGAGTGTAGCTGCAAGTGGGTGATAGATCCTAGTAGCCTGGTTGCTGCAATGGTCCAAGGCTTTGGTACTTTCTGGTTTGCTTTCCTACAACAAATACGTAGAACAGGAGTTCTGACATTCTTCTGACTCTACTAGCTGATGACCCAGAGGTAATAGAGGCCATAGACAGCTATGCAGGTAGCATTTTTAGAAATGGATCACCAATGGACACCTCCATATTTCTCCCTCTATGACCACATCGAGGTGCAATGACCATAAGTTCACTGGGCCACCAAAAAAGTTATTACTTTTGTAAATGACTAACTAAATGCCAAATTTATATTTTTTAAATTAACAATGTATTGCTGAATGGAGAGCTCGTATACCAAATAAAACATTTAAACTAAGGAAAAGGAAGGAGGTCCTATCTTGTTAAGTTATTTAATTTTCTATTTTATGCATTCAGTAATCATTTGAAATTATGTTAACGGGAAATCCATTGATGATCATTTTCATAAAATAGTTTTATTTTACCTCTGAATTGTTAATCTGTCCAATTTTATCATCTCGGCTCATTATTTTGGGGAAAAAGTTCTTTGTTTGTATAGTATGTCTGAAACATGTTCTCCATATTTGTGTTTGTGTTGGCGCAGTACAAATAAATATGGTGTTATTTTCTCGCTTTTATTAAAAACGTTAAAATTTACCCAGCGGAAAATATCTGGACTGAAATGTGAGCAAATAAATCTGACAATGCCTATTGATTTCTAAGAAGCCTCGACATTAATGTGGCCACAGGCAATCAAACTACACTTTTACACCTTCGCCACTATGGGGTGCTAGTGCCAAAAACATGCTATGATTTTTCATTTCCTCCTTGCAAAGAAAACAAATAGCTGAATAGAGGCAGCAAACAGCAAATTATATAAACGCATTTATTCCTCACCAGAGCAACAATGCTAATTGTTAAAAAAGAGGATGTAACATTAATTTAATAACATTTTTGGTCACCTTTTTGTTACTTAAAATTAAGATATATATTTTCTGTTTGTGTGCTAATTTACTCATTTGATTATATGAACCAGTGAAACAACACTTAAGCTGAGTTAATAAATGTTTTTCTTTGCAATTGCCCATATAATTAACATAATTTCACCTTAAAAGTTGTACTTATCAAAGATGATTTCTGACTGATTCATATGGCACATCACACATACATCTGTGCCAGTTATGTCATGGTGGCCATACATGAAGTGCTTTGTAAATGATACAATATAGTTCTGCATTTTGCAGAATATATTGACCAAATACTGTATATTGACCAAATCTATTGATCAAAAATTAGACTGATCAGTCATAAATCTAAACGATCTATAAAAAAAGAGACTGCTTAATTAATCTGTATTATGAATGGCTCTGTGACATATGTGCAGATTTTTTTTTGATAGAACAGAAGTGATCAACAAAATTCCACCATTGCCCAATCAACATGACAGAGCCTAAATCAATCAGGAGGTCACTCTTTGGTTCACATTTTTTGTTCACAAATTGATACGTTTAGTTTCAATGAATGATTGATTGAATGAACATATTGATAAGTGCAGCCACCATTACACTAGTGAAATGTTTGGCAACTATTGATGGATGAAATGATATGGGCTATTTATGCCTTTATCTCTCATATATATAAAACATATTACAAAGCGATTTTAACTAATACACAGGTCAGTTTATATCCATTACTGTCCCCTGAAGGATCCTATATTAAGAATGTCCCTACTGCACTCATACACACGAGGGCAAGGTAGGTAGGAAGTTCAACTACTAGTATATTTTTGAATTGTGGGAGGAAACTGGAGTACCCAGAGGATGCCTATACAAACAAGGAGAAACATACAAACATGCAGATCATGTCTTTGATGGGATTTATAGCAAGGTGCACACGGAAGGGCAATGCACATCGCAAAAAAAACGAAAGATTTCCCAGCACAATTACCAGCCAGCCTGCAAATCAATCGAATTGCCCTGTCTAACAGTTTACAATTTAAAAAAAGGTTAATACAAACCTATTTCAGTAATTAGGTGCTGTGATTGCACATATATCTAAAATCTTAAGTACATTCCATATTTTTTCATATACATTATTAATAAATAGCAATTATGTAAGGGAATTCCAGTAAGATGACTAGCACATAGCATGTGGACAGTATCACTCAATCACTCATAGAAATGTGCATAGGTGCATAACTCATAGAAATGAGCATGCACACACACATGTGGGAAAATGCCCGCAGTTTTTTGGCGCCATACGGGCTATTTAAGGGATGCACTTGCTCACTGTCAGTACTGACTGGTCCTGCTGGCTTTTCCTGTGTCCTGAGTGTATCCTTTATCTAATTTCTGTTGATGACCCAGCTTGTTACTGACTTGATCTTGGATTCTGCTTGTACCTCTGCCCACCTGTTTCTGACCACGTTGCCCGTCTGCTACTGACCTCAGCTACCTTTAAGACCTCGTTTGTGCTTCCAACTTGTCTTCATACCAGTTCTGAATGTCTGCTTTGGCTGTCCTTCATAATGGCTCCAATCCTTGCGGTGTGTTCCTGCCTAAAGCCTGCTGAGAAGCCACATTTACAGAATCTGCAGTACATATGGAGTGCCCCTTTAACCTCGGCTAGTCCAGCGTGCATCACATCTGCTCCTAACCTGATGTCCTGCCTGAATTCTCAAGCCTGCATGTCCTACTGCAATTTCTGATAGCAACACCTGCTAGCACTCATGTTCCTCCTGTCTCTCGGCACCATCTGTTCCACCTTCAGTGAGGCCTGGGCTGGAGATACAAGAAAGGCCAACCTACTGAATTCAGTCTACCAGGTATGTGACAAGTTAATTTGTACAAAGCGGGACTCAAGCATTAGTGATACAGTGGACACTTTTGCATAATAATATATTAAACATAAATAATCTTGAGTATTTATTAGGGAATTAAGCAACGTACAAAGGGCAGATCCCTTTGGGTTAAATCACCTTTTAGTACTCTACTGGTTAAGATTTTTGTGTTATAACCCCTTCCACAGTTAGTATTAGTTGGTCTAAATCTGTTGTACAACCATCATGTTACTTTAGCATGTCACTTACCTCCCATTGGCCTTGTACAGATTGCTCTTTCAGCTGGATCTTCCAGTCCTCTGTATTCGTCTCTGCACAGTGATGCATTGTAATAATGACTGGCCTAGTCATCAGTGCTCCCGGAGGCCCACAGGTAACAACAGGAGTTAGAAGTGTCTGACTGTCTTCTATGGGTGGCCTGGAAAAATAATGAGTAACTCAGAATTCAAATATATTGATGAATTTTATTGTTTGATCTACAGAGCTGAGTAAGTTTTACTTTTTATAGTTTGTTTTTATTTGTTTATTTGCAAGTACTTCTTGCACATATGAAAATAAGTAACAGGTTTATGTTAACAGTCCAAAGTTTCAATTCTGTTAAAAACTGTAATACTTGTCCTTGCCCTTCTGAATATATCTACAGGCAAATATATTCCAAGCCAAACACTTGATTCATTAATAAATATGCAATGTTGATAGTGGTTTTATACATAAAATTTAGAAAGAAAATTTCCATAAACTTTGGGCCTAAAGGAGGAAAGGCATATCTAAGCTTCTATGTGCTCCAAGCACTGACTAGTCACTGCAAACAATGATATTCCATCAAATGGAGACATCTGTTCTCATTCACTATTAAAAACCTGGATTCACCTGCTAGCAACTGACTCAAACCTTCAGCACACAAATTTCTGTAGTTCACAATTTAAAAAAAAGCAATTCCAAGAGTGCACAACCTTGTATCATGTAGGTTTACTGGCAATTTTATCCTGACTGCTTTTCTCATTAAGGTTCTGATCAGGTTTATGTTCTCCGTGGTAAAGAATCAAATTTATACACGTTTACTGAAATAAGCCCTGTTTTTGTTTTGCCTCGTGAATAAAAGCAGCCAAGATGCATAGTAGAGCTCGATAAGCTATGTTTAATTACATGCCCCAAGTGAGCAGATTGTAATATGTTTTTGTAGGGCAAGACATTTGAGACTAACGTGCAAAAGCTGAAACAGAACAAAAAAACATAAACAGATATACCCTAACGGTACAACCTCTATTAGCAGAGGTAAAACATTTACAGCTTAATTTAAAAAGTCCTAGGAACTGTCCCATAGCATCCAATCAGAAATAATATTTCACAAGTCTGATCACTAAAATGACCGAATATCTATGGAGTTGCCATCACTTGTTTAATGGGGTATTTTTAGTATCGTTAAAAAGTGGCCCTGCTAATACAAAAATATAAATTGTTTTAAAAAAGTTTAAATGATAAATGAATGGTTTTAAAATAGATTATTTACCAATTTGGAGCCAAATAAGTCTGTAGGAGCCATGCCCAAGCCTTCCTGCACTTATTTGAGTTGTCTAGACATTAATTAACTCAGTCTTTGCCCATGTGAATAGATCATGTGGAATTCTGTCTAAACTTCAGAAAGTTTAGTGTCACGGAGGTCTCTACTGAGATACAGTACCCAACTCTAATGAAAACAGAGCATGTTTTTTGTGCCATAATGAACTGTGACCGATACACTAGGTTTCAAAACAACATCAACATATCCCTAAGGTCATCAAAATGATACCAAGAAAAAAAAAACATTTTCTGAATTCTAGTAAACATCAGTAACTAAATTCTGTGCTGACAGTGTATGAAAACCACAACTTAATGCGAGCATTCAAATAAAATGTCTGTGGTGACATATGTCAGGTTTTATCAGTTAAATTGAGTGTATGGTGACCATTACCATGGTTTTCAAAACATTAAAAAGAATCTTTCATGAGAGAAATACATTTTTGACCACATCTAAAAATGCAAGTTTTCTGGCTGTCATGTTGATGCTCATTTAGGAGGAACTGAAATGTGGGGCAGCACATTGGCTAAATGGTTAGCACTTTCGCCTGGCAGCACTAGGGTCATTGGTTTGAATCCCAACCATGACACCACCAGCTTGGAGTTTGCATGTTCTCCCTGTGCCTGCATGGGTTTCCTCCGGGTACTCCGGTTTCCTCCCACACTCCAAAGACATGCTGGTAGGTGAATTGGATCCCGTCTAAATTGGCCCTAGAATGTGTATGTATGAATGTGAGTTAGGGACTTTAGATTGTACGCCCCTTGAGGGTTAGGGACTGATGTGAATGTACAATATATATGTAAAGCGCTGCATAAATTGACGGTGCTATATAAGTACCCGTAATAAATGAATAAATAGTAAGAATCTTCACTGCTTCAGTACGTGCTTTAACCCCTTTATTATCAGTAGATTGGCTTCTATGGGTCATTGCACATTGTTGTGATGTGTACTATGTGATTACATTGACCTACATCTTTTGAACAACTCTGGTGTTTTATGAATGGGTTTATACTGTATGTACTTGTGCTAAACACATTTCTTTCTTGAAAACAATAATTTACTCTAAATCATTGATTATTACAGAGGCTATTTTGTAATCAAATAGAATGCATTCTCAAAGCAAAAAATCCATAGGGTTTGTATTTGATGAAAGCTTCCAGTATAATTCTACACTGCCTCTTCACTTCCTCACTTTTGAGCTTATTTTATGACTTTGCTTAGCTCAAGTAGCTTTCTTTGTTGCAATCCAAATAGTCTCTTTTTAAAGGCTATCATGACCTCAATGCCACTTCTATAGTGGAGACAGCCACTTGAGAAATTTGATCATCTAGACAAGTGCACAGGAAAGTGAGGATCACCAGGGATTGGATTCAGTGGCAGCTACACATTACGACAACAACATAAAATTATACAGTGATAAGACCAAGCAACAGAATGTCAGAAGCTCCATGTGCAAAAAATAGGGAACCTTCAAACGAAAACTAGTAACAAACACTAATTTTGTAAGTAAGCAATAACTTAAAAGTAACCTAAGATAAAAAATACTTGCTGTTGTGAGGTGATTGTAGCCGTATTAGTGCATTTGCGACAGAAACAATTCAGTACTGTCCGTGATACTTTTTTTATTTGCACTAACATACAATTTCGAGGACAAGCTTTTGGGGAGTGTCCCCTTCTTCAAGTTCCAAGCAGTGCTATAATACTGATTGATACTATTATTAATACTTATTAATATTATTATTAATACTGATTAGTATTATTGATATAGTACTGCTTAGACCTTGAAGAAGGGGACACTCCCCGAAAGCTTGTCCTCAAAATTGTATGTTAGTGCAAATAAAAAAAGTATCACGGACAGTACTGAATTGTTTCTGTTGCTGTTGTGAATAATACATTCCTTGCAATAAAGAAAAGTTTAGCATGAATAAAGACTATTTTGGTCCTAAAAAAAAAGAAAACAAAAACTCTCTTGCACTTACTTTTTCTAATATAATGTCACAGTATAATTCAGGTTGAACCTGATATAAACATTTTGTGGGCTTCTAGCTTTAAACATGATTTTGTTTTCTTAATAGTGTTTTAAAAAAACAAATGAATTTTGTCAGTGATGATGCCTACCTACGAACTCAAGATACACAATACACTGCTTGCAAAAACACACTGCTCCACAATGTTGGTCATGTTCTTCGCACCCTCTGTACGTTAATCCTATACCCTAAAGTGATTACCATCAATTCTCAGGGGACAATGGGACTATCCAAGTGGTCTATAACATGGTCAAGGGTCCAAATGGACCCATTTACTGGGGATCAGTAAATGGTGGAAAGTCAATTGGGGTCAATTTATCTTTTGATAAGTAGAGTTCCATGCCAGTCCTTAGTCTTGAAGGTGAGGTGGCTAGTGATGAAACTGCGTTATCCCGGTGTCTGTGACCTTCTAAACTTCACCTTCTGGGAAGGATATACAAACATGTTCACTTCTCAAACAAAGCATACTCCCCCACTGCAGATTCTGTTGGAGAGCCAGGGAGTACATCCACCTCAAACTTTGTTGGAGAAGCAGTAAGCAACCCACCTCAAACTCTGTTGGATAGCCAGTGGATACACCGTAAACCCAAAGCAATAGGAGTGGTGCAAAAAAACTGAATGCTGTGTATTTAGTAAAAAACTCAGCACTGTAATAAATATAAAGGAATCTGTTGATACCAAGAGAAAATATAGACAGTATTTACAAGAATATCATTATTAATGTTATTATTTGTAGTGCTAAAATTTGACTTCCTTTTTATAAAATTATTTTCAGATAATAAATGATTGGGGTAGATAAAAAATCCAAAACATCATGAAGTGGTTGATGCGCTGAAGAGCTGGGGACCCCCTGTTTCCCCTGTGGCATCTTCCTCTACCCACCAATGGAAATCTGCTTTTAGCTGTGTGCTATTACATAAGTATTTTTTTAAGGTAGCCCAGGCTAATGATAAGCAAGACAAGTTCTTTTTTTCTACTATTATATAAATGTGTTGGCTTCAGTTCATATCATACTTACAGTACAATGTCAGATGGAAAATTCAAAACTAGTGCTTAATGTTTTTAATCTCTCCCCACAAAGAATTAAGAAAAGTATTCTGACTTCATTAAGCAGGTAAAGTTCCCTAAATATAAAGGTCTTCAAGAAGAACTGGTAAATTAAGTAAGTCAAAGGAACATTTGCACTGGTAGTTGTGAATCACAGACTTTCACTGATGGATACCCTCCCAGTGCTGTACATGACTCAAAGAGATGTAAGAAGATTAGACTGTGTCCATAAACCAATTCATTGTGAAGAATGCATCTGTACTACACAGTCACATGAAATAATATGTTTTGGCAGCACTGCCACTTGAATAATAATTTGCCGCATTGATCTAGTCGACAAGAATAGATAAGCACATAATTCTGCTTGTGAACATGAAAGGCCCTGGACGGTATACATTAGCGGCATAAGAAAAAAAGTTCAATGGTCAAGCTGTTTGTAAAAATGATCTTTTTGCAAAAAAGAACTTAAAAAACATACAAAAAAATTAGTACATATAAATAATTAATTATATATTTATATTTAGGAATGACTGCACTTTTTATTCTTTGGCTGACTAAAATGTGTTTTTATTTTCAGTCTTCTGCTTAGATTAAAGATAATTAATATTCTATTTATCTATCTATCTATCTATCTATCTATCTATCTATCCATTCAGTATTCAAACTACTGCCTTTTCCACCCACCCTGTTGCTATAAAGCCCAGGGCAGAGGGGGGCCCCCGGTCAGAACCAGGAGGGGTAGGTTGTGTCCCTTAGTGACAGTCTATTGCCCACTGTTAACTTACT